AAAATAGATATAGATGTTCAATACATCTGAAACATCAAGTTTATGGTAATTAGCTTTTGAGGTATTGTCTGGGGTACTATGAAGTCTATCTAGAGTCAAAGAATACAGTTTGCATAATTTTAATGATTTCCTACTTAATCAGCCTTATTATCACTAGAGTAAACTCTCCAGGTGAATTTGAGAAGACTGTTTTATGTTTTCTGCAATTTGGAATTAGAGAGGGCTATAGATAGGGATTGGTTTAGGTTTTTTTTTTTTTAAAACACCAGTTGATCTCTCTTCATTTTCGGCCACATTTTTTTCCTTACAGCAGAAGGTGCTCTCATGAAGCTTTTATTTCAGAGGCATTTCTCATTTTTATTTATTTTCATTCCTTTCAAGTCACCTATGTCTCTGTTGCTGTTCTGTATTTGTTCAGGCTCATTCTTCTGCTTTCCTTTATTATTTTGTATGTGGTTCTGTTTAGCTTTTTACACACGTACCTAGGAGACTGAAAGTGATTGTCTAGCAGGTTAATGCTTAGTCTTCCTGGGGAAAATATTTGACTTAATTTCCTATTGATAACATCCATACTTACTGTTTCTCTCTAGTTTAATAATTTGACTCCTTCTTATCTGGGCATTTTAAATTTTATTATGTGGCAATTGTAGAAATAATCCTATTGCTCTTGTCAGGGTCTGTTGCTGTTCTGATTTCTGTATGCAGCTATATCTGCTTATGTGAAGACTGTGCTCTGTCATGTGGACCGTTGAATGGCTGACTGCATGGGGTTTTGCTCTGTTTTGTCTTGTTCTACGCATGGTTTCAAACATACTTCCAGAAGAGCTCTCTGAGTGGCATCCTAAGTTGTCCAACTTGCTGTCTGCAGAGCCCTTTTTTCAGTTGCTGGTTTTGGGGGTTTGCAGGTCAGCAAGAGAGGACAAAGTTTAAAGACTTCCAAGATTCTTCTGTGTGTACGCACAGCATAAGTCTTGCTGTTGTTCTAGATTCCAAGAGACATGATGACATTTTTACATCCCAGTGGATCCTATTCTCCACTGTTCAAGCTTTTTATTTATTTACGAATTCCTTAACTGGTCCCCATTACATTAGGCAGCCACAGAGGCAAAATATTTGCCATAAGTGGTTTGACAAATGCCCATGGGAGGATCCATTTTGCCCTTAGTGACATGAGAGGTCGCTTTCTGATGGTGCTTCTGAAACCCTCAGAAAGGTCAGAAATGAACAATTTGGGTAAATGAGAGAGCTCCTGTCTTGTTGTGTCCACTGCAATGACTGATGGGCTACATGGAGGAGTCAGACTGCCGCAGAGGACTGTGGGGCTTAGAGAGTGAAAACGGCACAAAGATCAACGCTGTCATCAAGATTCAGCTGCTTTGCTTGTATGGTCAATGAGAAATGGGGAACCTTAGTTCATTTTCTGTCTGATAAGGTTGATTTGGGCTTTCATTTCCATTCCTGTTCTTTCGTTGTTTCATTCCTCTTCCTTACTGTACTCAGAGGAGTTTATCAGTCAGTTTAGTGTCATTGTGATTAAAACATACCCGAGGCACACTACTTATTTCAACAGTGCAGTTTATTACACCATAGTTACAGAGGTTCAAGTCCCATTGCTTCAGGCCCCTGGTGTGAATGACAAATGGAAATTGTAAATCAGAGTGAGAGATTGATAGAAAAGACAAACCAGGGTTCCTCAGTCTCCTTCCTCTGCATATTCATGGTGACCTAAAGTCTCCACTGGGCCACTCTGTATAGGCACACAGTGCCTGCAGCAACACTGCCCTAGGTATCAAGGCTTTCATTGTGGCCTTTTCATTCATAGTCACTCAACCACAGGGAGGGGTAAATCTTAGAGGGCCCTTACTGGGTTGTCTTTCCTAATTTCCTTCATAAGGGACTGAATCTTCATTTAAACTTTTGACTTAGCATTGAGCTTAACATGAGGCATTAATCAGATTTATAACTACATATTATTGAAATAAGAAATATATGTATCTTATCAGCCCACTATGGGCTCAAGTTAGAGTTCAAAACAACACAAATGAGAGAAAGCCTACAAACTCATGAAAACTGAACAAGTCTCAACTAAACCACCTGTGGGTCAAGTAAGAAATAAAGAAATTAAATATTTCTTAGAATTCAATGAAAATGAATTCACAACATACCCAAAATTATGGGACACATTGAAAATAGTATTAAGAAGAAGTTCATAGCACTAAATGCCTACATAAAGAATGTGAGAAATATCACACAAGCAACTTAATAGCACACAAGAAAGCTCTAGAACAAAGAGAAATAATCAAATCATGGCTGATCAAAAATACTAATAATAGCTTATGCTAGAGAGGATATGGAGTAAGGGGACCACTCCTCCACTGCTAGTGGGAATGCAAATATGTATAGTCACCCTGGAAATCAGTATGGCAGTTTCTCAGAAAATTGGGAATCAATCTACCTCAAGACCCAGTGATACTGCTTTTGGGGATATTCCCAAAGAATGTTCAATAATACCCCAAGGACACTTGTTCAACTATGTTCATGGCAGCATTATTCATAATAGACAGAACTTGGAAACAACCTAGATGCCCCTTAATCAAGGAATAGATAAATGAAATGTGGTATATCTACACAAGGAAGTATTATTCAGTGAAGAAAAAATATCCCAAACAATAACATCATGAAATTTGTAAGCAAGTGGATGGAACTAGATAAAATAACCAGGCTATAATCTTTAGCCTCAGAGAAGCTAGGTAACAAGGCAGACCCCAAGAGGGATATATGATTTTCCTTTGAAGAGGGAGTAGAAGGGATGTCATGAGTAAACTGGAGGTGGGGGTGAGTAGAGGGGAGGAGTGGGGGGATGGGAACATGAGGGATATCAGATGGTTGAGTTGTGGGCAGGACAGAGTGGGAGAGTGATGGGGAGATATCTTGGTAGAGGGGGTCATTGTATCTGATGGAAGCAGATGCAGAGATCCACAGCAAAGCACTGGAACAATCTATGGGATTCCAGTTGAAGAAAGGGTAGAGGGATTGTATAAGCAAGGATTTGGGGAGGGGTGTAGAAATAAATTAAGGGGAAACCTGCAGAGACAGCTGACCTGATCTTGTGGAACCTCATAAACTCTGAACTAACAGGGAGCTGGCATGGGACTAACATAGTCCCTCTGAATCTGGGTGACAACTGTAGCTTGGTCTTTTGTGGAGCCAAGACCTGTTTCTGATACATGAGCAGGTTCATTGGAACCTATTGCCTATGGTGAGATGCCTTGTTCAGCCTTGATGTGGAGGGTGGGACAAGACCTTGGCCCTGCCTCCAGCTTGCTGTGCCATGCTTTATTGAGTCCCATAAGAGGCCTTACCCCATCTAACTGGAGATGGAGGAGTAGTAAATGGGGGAGTAGGAAGAGGTGGGGGATGGAGCAGGAGGAGAGGAGGGAGGAGAAACTGTGGTTGGTATGTAAAATAAATCAAAAATGATGAAAATAAGAAATAACAAATATAAGACAAATCAAATAAAAATATCTAAATATATGTATATTTCACGGAAAAGTTCAGCTCAGCAGAATTCTTATTTTTTACTTACTAGAAATCTATTTTTGAAAGTTTTCCCTGTAGCCTGTTTCAAAGACTAAAATTCATCTCCCTATTGCTACGCATGGGAAGACTACCAGTTTAAAAAAAAATGAGTTTACGTCCATAAACACAATAACCCATTTAAGGACATATGAAACTCTAATCGTTAAAGCAGGGCATGTTTTTCGTTATCAGTTTTGCGAATGTTCGGATGATATTCCTGGGCATTGTTTCTGTTAATCTGTCAATCATTTTTTGTCTCTTTTGTAGAAAATCTTGGTAAGTAGAGCATGGGCACTAACATCTCATGGTGCCAGAGAGCTGACTCGGGTCACAGAGGGACTTTAATTGCAGTAGCAACAATTCTATTGGTTTCCACCTGGAAACCAGCTTTCCTGTGAAAACAGCTGTAGCCCCAGCCAGGCAGCTCTTTTAGGAGGATTTTCTTTGTCCGCCTCCCTGTATTTTAGTTCTGCTTTTGAGATTTTGGTGCCCATGTATCCCCTCTTTAAACTGTAGTGTTTGCCTCTCCCTTCTCTATGTACAGTACAGATGGACATATTTCATCATTTTCTTTAATTAGTCGATCAAAAATTTCATATTTCCCGTTATTTATATCAAGAGAACTGTAGGCTTAAAAAGACTTGCATTCATAAAAACTAAAAGAAATAATAATTAAATGGTTAATCGATTCATTTGGCCTGTGTTTTACAAATTACTCTAAAGACCAAAGTCTTAAAATAGAACTATGGGGGGGGGGCAATGTTAGAAATACCACTCCTAAGTGCGGCAGTGTACAATTATCTAGAATCTGCCTAATACGGTGGTGTGTGCGTGTGAGCACACAGGCTGGTGGCAAAGTCAGAGACAAGGACTGGAAAGAGAATGTTAAATTCTACTGGGGTCATTCCAAAACCATCAATTTCTAGTTCAGAGATGCTGGTCTCTCCCATGCACCTGTCTTTCCAGAACCCATCAGTTATGCACATCAGAAACATCAATGTTTTTTAAACACCATTTAAGAACTGTTTTGTCGAATCTCCTCATTTTTGCAACTGGTGCAAATGATAGCATATGTAAAGATGCATTAGCACATACTTTGTTTTCAGAGCAGAAATGGGCTCTTGGGATCTGTATCGTGTTCTTGGGCTGGTAGTCCTTTCCTTCCTTCATAAGCTTCAACAAAGCCCATAGTTCTTTGATTTTGGAAACCACTGAAGAATGCTTTAAAGTTGATCTGCAACTTGTTTGTTTTATAAAGGCAATATTGTCTGCTCTACAACAATTTACTGAAACAGGAAGAAGGAAAAACTCAGATTTGTATCTAGTTTTATATATGTTACCTTCACTAAGAAAAGCCTTGCTATTAAAGAGCTTGATATGATTTGAGGGGCTCCGTTCATAAAACGTTGGCAAATACAAACCGACAAGGATGGAGTAGAGGATGCCGGGTCGATCTGATGGCGGCTGGATGTTTCGGTCCTGATCAATGGCTTGGATAGGTGGAGTCACCAAAATGGGGTTCAGTTCTTCCTGGAAGAAAATTAAGAGTGTTTAGCTGTGCTGCACACTCACACTTCAGGGAACCCTGACACCAGGATGCTTACTTGAGTTTGGACAACTGGATATGCACTAAGAACCAAGTAGGCACGGAAACACAATCGCCTGGACATATAATTTGACACTAGTTAACTCTAAGTCTGAAGGGGAAATGAGCCTCTCTTAAATTCAGGATGAAAACATGTAGTAGTTATGTTCACAGAACTTTAAGGGATTCTCCCAGGAGAAAGTTTGGGAGGAAATCTACATTGTTAAACTGCTTAGAAGACTTCAGTGAAATGTAAAGACTTCAAACAGTTCCTTATGTGAGCTCTCCCTGTTTTAGGAAAGATTTGAGACTCTACATTCTTTCGTTTTTAAATAATTTATTTTATCTGGATAATTATCGTGAACTTGAAAAAAGCCACTCGAAATATATGCAATATATTTTAATTAAAAAGAAATCAAAGCCACACCATTCAGGTTTTATGTAATTAAAACAAAGTACATGCTACAGTTATGTTTATTTAATGAAGAGAGGCGTGAAAAGACACTGTTTAGGATGATATGGAACTCTTTTAAGTCAGTGTTTCTTAGTTTGATGTTCAGCAGTATCCACTGAGCTATCAAGATTGAACACTGGTGTGGTAGAGGTGAGTAGGTAAATTAATCAGAACTAGGCACATTGGTTTCTCTTTCAAAGAACCCTGCTTCTGTTTCCAAAACCCAAGTGGAAGGTTACAACTCTCTGTAATTCGAGATGCAGGACTTCCAACACCCTCTTTTAGACTCCATGGGCAGTGCAAAACATGGTGTAGCTATATACATGCAGGCAAACACTCAAATTACACATAAATATTAAAATAAATAAAATTTGAAAAGAGGAACAGAACACTTATATTTTGAAAGGGAACAAGCTATAAGTTTAGACTCTTGTAGCCAGAGGACTGGTTTGCAGCCTTTTAACTCTGCCATTATCGTAGAAGATGCGCAGAGGGATGTGGCTCAGTTAAATGAGGAAACAGTACCATGTATGCCAAAAGGAACAATGAAAATCTTACTCAGCAGATCAACTTGGGAAACACTATTCTAGATAAAGTTTTGATCAGATAATATTTCCTGGAGGTCTTCTCAGGGAATTCATTATGCTGCTTTCCATTTGTGGTTCAAATAAGAAGGTATGTTTTCATATTTTTAGTTTTACACACATTAAGTAAACTTCCTCTAATATTTTCTTAAAATAACGCTCTTAAAACATGGTTTAAACATTAAGGGTTTACAGCTCTCAGCCAAAATATATAAGCGGTGAGTCTAAGGGGAAATCAGTATTTCCTCAGTGTCTGATGATGTACTGCAACATGCTTTTCTGTGATTTATTCTTAAATGAAGAACACTGACCTCTGGTATGTACTCTTAGGCAAATCTAGTAGTTTAAACTCTCAGTGGACATCGCATGGCGCTTGGTTTTATTTAAAATGGGCCATCATACTAAATAAACACAGGCAATATTGTTTTTATTAAAATCATGGGGATGATATATTATTATTGGCTGATGGCTAGTTCCTCACAGATGAATCTCAGGCACGATGTAATTGTTTTTACATTTTCTAAGTGACATCACGATATTTTACTATAAATAATGAGGCATTGATAGCAATAATTTAGTAACATTCTATCACGTCTTTTAATGTGGATTTAGAATCATGGATATATCATCTCACAATAAAAATTGCTCCTTTAAATGCAAATGATTCTTCTTCTTCTCTCTTTCATACATATAGAAAATCTAGAATTCTCTCCCTTTCCTTTCCTCCTCCCTTCATCATTTCCAATGTTCCTCTCCCTGTACTTTGTTTTCTGTCTCCATCTCTTTGGCTCTCCCCGTCTCTTACATAGTTCCTTCTCAATAGACAGTTCCTGTCATCTTCTCCCTAAACTGAAACAAGTCCAAAGTTCTGTCTTGGTTAGTTAAGAGCTGAAGAGCACCTTTCAGTCACATCTGAAGAGGACGGGCGTCAGAGTTAACCCATACTTCAACTGCTTGCTTCTATTTCACCAGTTAATCCTTCACAAGTTTTCCACATGAATCATTCCAGTAGACCCCAGGAAGCTCTGAGAAACTGATGGCCCTCTGCAATCCAACCGTGTACCCCAAAGTCAGATGTTCCAGGGAGTTCCCAGAAGTCTTTGACTGTTAGAGAGACAAAACCCCCTTTCTTATACACAATTAAAAAAAAAAAACCTATGATTTGAGCTATTCTCTTGGAGTATCAAGTAAAGAAATCTCATTTTGAGGGTATCCCGTGACCCTCCCCACCTTTATTCTCCTTGTTTCTGTAGAGCCACCAAGCTTTCAACCCAGAATAAATTTTAGTTTTGTTAATTCATCAGATAATTAAAATTCACTCTCATTATTATGTAGCCTTGTTGAAATGACCAATGAAGATTTAATCACATTATTTAAAGTGACATAAACAGCAGAAAAACTCAAAATAGCACAGCAAATAAATTTAGTGGAGATGGAGAAGTGTAAATTAGATTCCTCATCTTATCTCATTGCTTGTTATCTCTTATAATATATATTGAGGACATGAAAGAGATATGGATATGATTTAGTATTACTTTACTTGACACTAGAAAAATTAAAAAATGTGAACACTTCAGGAGACTTGGTTTGAAAGGAGGAAATAGAATATTTTTTTTTACCTAGAGTAGTTTAGTATATTGGACTAGATCGTTATCATATGTTTACTATTTTATATTATAAATGAATAAACATAATAATAATAAGAAAGGAGAATCTGTCTGAGTGAAAAGGTTCCATCTTTTTTTTCCCAGAAAATTTGGAGAAGTGCTAATTTTACATCTCTTGTTGGCATATTAGGACTGATATAAATATAAATATCAGTCCTCCTCCATAAACTCGCAACACATGTTAATAGAATTTTTCCCATCTGTTACCAATCATGAGTTAGGCAGAAAATTCTAGGTTTATGGGTGTGATAGCTGCATTTTGTCATCAACTTTCTTCATCTGGAATGAACTAAAACCCAGACTGCTGGGTACACCTGTGAGGGATTTTTAATTAATTGGATTATTTGAGGTCTGAAGACCCTCTTTAAATCCAGATCACTTAAAGTCAGAAGATCCACCCTAAATCTGGGCCACACTTTCTTGTGGCAACCTTTAAGAAGGAAACTTGCTCTCTTTGCTTGCTTGCCCTAGCTCTCTCTGAGAAGCCCATTCCTTCTCTGGTGTTAGAGTCTCCTTCTTCGGGACTCACATTTTATACAGAAGTATTGAATTATCGCACTGCTTTTTACAAAAATCTTAATAATAGCATTAATAAAAATAAGTAAGTAGAAATGATAGTGTTTACATATGAATGATAGTGGTATTTTTATACACTTAAACCTGCAAAATACTACTGAAGAGTTGGAAACAAATTAACTAAATATTCAATTAAGGGACTTGGTTTAAAGAACAAGCGAAGCTCTAAAACACAGTGTAAAAATAGTTAAGAATGAACAAGATGAAGCCATCTGTGTGATCACATGTATCATATGGCAGATGAAGTAAACAGGAGACATCTTGGTTCATATCACTGAAAAATCAAAATATCGTAGATTTTGAATTTCCAGAAAATATATGTTTTCCTAATCCACCAATTGTTTTCCTAGATCAATCTGAGATACATTTCTAATACTTTAAATCTGGAATATCAGACCATATAGACTTATGCAGAAACACTGCGGTTCCCCTTTAGCTTGTAAACTGAGTTCTTGAGAACGTAATCCTTATTGCATGCCAAAGTCACGTGGCCGTATGTCGAGCCAGACAAGTAGCAGGTTCAATCCTTTTCTAGTCTACTGTTAGCTTAACAAACCTTCCAGGCTGCTTATATTGGACCATTCTTCTCAAAAAGACCTTGTAGTAACTACTTCCAGAAGAGTCTATTTGTGATTACACAGAGAATTCCTTCCAGTGTGTGAAATGCCAACCTGTTCGGCTGTTTTGTTTGGAAGTGAATCATTCCTGGGAGGTGGGAACCGCTGTCTCTTCTCATCTCCCTATTTCTCTTAGCTTGTGACCTGTCTGTCTAGTGTATGTAGCTGGTACATGTTGCGATTGTAGAGTCATTCATAGCTCAAATATTGCTGCAAATTCTTGAAAGTGTGGTTGAAAATCCCCCTCTATCTTCTATACCTTCTTCTTTACCAAGAATTGTATTGGTACTGCAGAAAATACCCAATTCATCTTTATAAACCACAATCTAATGCCTAGTGAATTTTAAAGAATTTCACAACTGAGTTGAATTCCAGGAGACAGAGACAAGTCACCTGAACCCTGAGGGCTTCTTGTGCTTTCCTTCTGAAACACAGATGCTGGGTGACAGTGTTTGGTGTATTGGGGAAACCACACCTCACACCCATTTGCAGTGTACCCTGTCACTTCGCTGTGGTTTGACTCCTTTTCCCACTTTAGCTATGGGGACACATATCTAACTTCCACTATGTGCACATGCAGGTTCACACTGTAAAGACAATCATAGATTATCTTTCGCAGTAACAAAAATACACCTGAAAGACCCTTGTGTCTTTGGGTGGTTATGAAGGTCCAGAGCCTTGCAGCAGAAGTACTTGCTTCTTTGCGCTAGCATTTCTGAGTCATATTTTCTCTTCTGAGATCATCCGAGACAGAATTTTCAGGCACGGTTATTGTGGTTTTATGAGAAGACACATAGAATGCAATTGAAGTTTGGCTTTCAAATAGTTTAAGTACAAATTTTTGCACATACAGATAAACAACCAGAATTTTTTCTTAGCAACCATTTGCAATAGGATGGCTTATGAAACTTTTCTGTTAGTTTAATAAATCTTAGCTCTCAACATTTTTATGGTTTAAATCACTGCCCTGTATGAAAGACAGGTGCTCAAATTTCAGATATTTAAAATTTTGACCTCATTAACTTACATCAGACAAATGTGAGTCAT